CCGAGCGCTTCTAACTCTCGTCCTAAGCAGGTTGCATCGGAGCTGGATACCCCGGATAAAACATCCGTGGAAACACTCGTTCTGGGAATACTATACTACTATACCACTATACTATAGAACACTGACTATGCTATGCTATACTATACTATACTATACCATATTATACTATACCATACTATACCATACTACTGTATATTATACCATATACTATATACTTCCTATACTTCTTACATGCTTCTTATTTACTTCTCTTTTATACTGCTTCAAACTGAACGAATTCTCACAAGGGACAAGCTTTGTTCTCTCAGTTGAAATCATCCTGTAAGAAGCGTAGCCCCCCCTCCCGAGGGCCCATTGCGGGAAGCACTTTTCTGAGTCCTTAAATCTCTAATTTACTATCTGCACGGCGAAGATTTGACCAAATGACTGCTGAGATAAAACTGCCAATGTCACATGCACAGATATCGCCGGTAGGTATTTCTATGAAACGAATAAAAGCGCGAACAAATGTCACCCTCGCCTCCTGAAAAACAAGAAGCCTCTGGTTACCAGTCCCCATATCCTGAAAGAATAGCCCTATCAATTGTCCGACGAATTCTATCACAGAATTATTGAGAATAGTGGCCAACCCCCTAAGAAGGGTTAAAAAATTGTTAGTTCTCTTGCCGAGTGAGTGAAGTTTGGAGCCGCACGGTTGTACAAGAAAGCAAATGTAGCGCTCTGATTCATGGAAGGAGCGCCGTAAAACATTTAATTCAAGTACGCTACTATTGGTTCGGCTTAGACTCTGCCAATCGGTATCTCACTCTCTTAGCCCGAGAAGGGTGTCAGCTCGTGTGAGACCACTCTGACCGGGATTTCGTTGCGCAAGCTTGTCACCCGGGTTCCATTAACTGCTTTTTGAACCATACTCAAATACTAGCACTCTGTATTGTTCAGTGCAGGTGACTTCATGTACGTATTCCATCCAAAAACAAAACACTTGGTATGTTGTAAGACGTCTTCCGTGTGAATGTGGTATGCTCCACTCCATCCTAAGGAGATAGGGTGTGGATTTAGCCAGGCCTTAGTCTGGCTGTAGTGGATTCATAGAATCGTAGTAAGTGTTGTGTTATCTCTCTTAGGCAACCTGGCAGTATCTCATCCCTCGTGCAACCTTCGGGTGGCATGACAGTTACGCACTGAAAGGGTGCCACAGCTGAGCGGTATCCCTCCTCGGTTTTTCAGCATAGAAAGGCTCCAATTACAGGACGAAATCTTCATTGAAAAAAAACCCCAGATCTCTCCACAGTTCAATAAGTTTGAAGATTGGCTTTCCAGTCATATTTGACCTATCTAGACAAAACAATCTTTTGTCAATTGTGGGATGGCTAACCATTACCACGGTGATGCTGATAATTTGGGTGAGGGAGCACGTGACTGTGACGTGACACGATCGAAGTGGCATAACGCCAAGTTTGATAATTTTAACCCCTCGGCCTTCACCCCAGCTGTTGGTCAGTTCCCCGTGGCCACAGTGTGTGCTCTAAAATGTCTGTGACAAGATGAATAAAGCGAGCATCAACAATCACAACCAAAAGCCGTTTTTGTGCCGGCAGAAATGGGACAAAATAGTTTTCGGGAGACAACGGTGGGACGGAATTTGGCTAAATTACCCTGTAAACTTTGACCCCGAATGGAAAGAAATGTCAGAACGTTTTTGGCGTCTAATAAAGAAACCTTAATGCATAAATTTTCGGTCCTGATGTTATCATGCTGAGAATTCTTGATGAGTGACTAACCTGAAATGATTTGCCGGAAAGCCTCATCCACATTGGTCGCATCCAGGGCCGAGGTTTCCATAAAGAATAGACTCTCCCTTCGGGCAAACTCCTTCGCGTCATCCGTTACGACCGAGCGAAGGTAGCGTAGGTCACACTTGTTCCCCACAAGCATTACCAATATGTCACGGTCAGCAAAGCGGCGTATCTCCTCTAGCCACGGGACCACATTTTCAAAAGTTATTGCCTGCGTGATATCGTAGACTATTAGTGCTCCAAGAGCTCCCCGATAATACCTGAGTTTTACAAACAAAAACAAATAGAATGATCTAAACAGTGTGTTGCGAAAAAAGAAATATGGTGGTCCAAACTGACGGGGAGCCGTGAAATTAGCGACGCTGGATCAAATCCGATGGACTCACTAAGATGTTAGTGAAATACACTCATTTGCAAACCATCTTGGTTTCGACGGAAGACTCACCTGGAACCCAGCTAAATCGCACGTTTCCTAGTAACTGATTGTGGTGCACCAGGCTGTCTCATGTTTCAGTGGGTATGATATTCAAGATATCAGGATACATGTACGGACTAATCATAAGGTTGTTGAAAACTCCTCGACGGCCAAAGACCGAAGATCGCATGAACGAGAAATTCACCTGAGTTCCAGGTGAGTCTCTTTTCAAAACCAAATTGAAATCCAAATTTCGTCCAAGTTGGGTTCAGGTAGGTTGACTGTGCTTATCTGATGAGCCCCACAATGGACGAAACCGGTAGTGGGCTGTCCAGGAGTTTTCAGCAGCCTTATAAGTAGTCTAACACATCTATACTAAGAGGTTATGCCACGTTTGCCTCGCAGTAGAAAATAGTTGGTTTTGGAGGTCCTTGAACTACCAGAGAAACCACTCGTTCTTCCCTTAATTAGCTTTGGTATTCTAACATTATTGGAGTTAAATCGATCACTTTATGCAGCTAACCGTCATGGTTCTCCGAGCAAGTGGAACCCTCACTCCTCTTTCGAAGGATTTCACTTTGAGCAAAATGTTGTCCTTGAAAAGGAAAAAACGTGAATAGGACAACTGCCCAGTGTGATATTAAACAGGTAGTTGGTTTTGTTCAAAGGGCTTGGCAATGAAGTCAAAAATTTATACCGTGATGTTAGCTCACAAACTGACTGTGTCTGACAGATCCGCGATGAAACGTTTCTCGAGCTTCCGGGAACAGATGTTGGGAGATCTGGACAACGACTCTAGCTGTCACTATTCCGACACATCGCCTAAATTTGATGAAACTAGGACAGCCTCTCTGATCACTATTCCGACACATCTCCTAAATTTGATAAAACTAGGACAGCCTCTCTGTTTTCATAAAGGAAACTACTCACAATGTTGCTGAAAATCCGTCGACAGCCCACGACCGGTTTTGTCCTTCTTGGGGCTCATCAGATAGGCGCAGTCCCCGAGTTTCCGTCAACCTTATGCTCTCTCTGTTTGTTCAGAGAGGGCAGTTGGACCGCACACGAGGTTAGTGAACAACGTTTCAGGAAGCATCTACGAAACACGCATCGGACAATCCACCACATCATGGCAGAGCTATCTGTGAATCATTCGAATCACTCAACTTTGGTGCTTTGTCATTTTTAGGCCTTTCAACGATGGTGCAATTCTGTATTTGAAAGTACTATTTAAATGACAATGTCTTTGAATTAGCTCTCAAAGTGTTCTGATTGTTTGCCTTTCCAGGAGTTATTCAACGGGGGTAAAAGTGTTTCGGAAGAAATGGGTAAAACTGACAGTCTCAGTAACCCTAATTAGCAGTTTTCGAAAAAATTCTTCCGGAGAAATTTCTATGCAAGCCCATTTGGGGGTGTTTGTTCTATCAACGTATATGTGAATTATCGGCGTCAGGAGCAAGGCTATCAAACTAGTCAGCGCATATTTGGAAGGAACCAGCCCTTTTTTGCGGGGTCCAGTGTGACGATAGCGCAGATGGAATAACTCCGATGGAATAATATCGGAGATGAATGTCAGCATGGAACATAAAACAGAGATCAGCATCGATGACTTGGTCATCCTCAAGTTGTTGACGTCCTCGGCGGTTCACCAAGAAAAACACTTCTTTAAGACAAAAGTTCGTCTAGACGATCATAGGTTGCTGTTCTGGGAGATTTTGTTCGAATTTCCTACTAAGCTGATGATCTAACCCAGTGTTTGGTGATAAAATCGGACCAGAGAGAATGTGCTTTCACCAAGTTGTGTCAGCATTTTCGATGTAGAAATAAGCGGTGTTCTAGCTTTGATAACAGATAAGTGATACAAGAGCGAATGGTGTTCCAGAGTAAAATGAATGAACACGCTTCCTAATGGCACAAATGATCTGTTGTTTTCTTCTCAGATGGTGTACAAATTAGTAGAATTTAGTGGCATTCCAAAGCCAAGGAGGGAGTACGCAAGTGGATTTGTCAATGGACCAAAAGAGTTGCTATACTAACGTAAAAAAAACTTATGTGAACTGGGTTGTTGCAAACCCAGACTCGAGCACTGATTCTTGTCACCTGATGATGACGCAAGCACGTAAAATCTACTCTTTTAAACAGTGTGTGAAAGAGTTCCGGGACTGATGCGAACCTGGTGCAATGAGTGGTTTCGATAGTCTAGTCTGCCAACCTCCTGGTGGCCTCGGGGATTGTGTTCTGCTAAATCCACGGAACGAGACAGTTCGCACAATTGCAACCCGGAGTGCATATACCTTAATGCCTTTGCTTCTTTCGTATTGCCCTCAGAAAATAACCAGTGTCTACTGTCCATAAGTGGAATGGAATTCTGTTACTCCTTACCAACTTTATCGCTGGTCTTTGAGAAAGGGCAAATGCTGCCTCGTCTTCCATTAGACTGGGTTTTCAAGTTTGGATCACATAACTGATATGAGAATTAATGTATACGGTTAAAGGTTTGCGGAGTTGCTGGCCAACATTTCTGTCAGCTTCCTCTTAATTGTAGCAGAGACAACATGTATGAATGTCAACGTCATGTTCTAGGGGGACAGGTATAGCTTTTCTTACCTGGGTGGTGATATGGTGACATAACTAGAGAACTTTAAATTTGGGCAGGTTAAAGATGACCAATTATATGCACTATCAACATCCACTTGAGGAACTGGGGTATCTTTCTATCAGTAAGGTCAGATTCCTGAATGTAACCTCAGAAAGCCCGAAACCTACTGCTCCACTAAAGTCTCAACAAAAAAGCGGGTAAGAATCCAGGCAAGTCAACCGTTCAATCAATTCAACAAAGCTGATGAGTGTTTATGCACGCCACAGAAGCACGACCGAATGTGATCTGCGTTCAGGCATTTCCTAGTTGATGGCTGTTCACTAACGCCTATCGGAAAGCCTGGTTCAATGTCAGAAATTTCCCTGTAAATAGCGTGGGGTCATTGTACCTTTTGCTCTCTCACTCGCTTGTTCGGAATATAGCTGTTGTGTTCCCTTCTGTGAGTCTTTTTTCTCGGGCATTAGGCACTGCAGCGGGTCAGCAGCAGATACTACGGACTGACGAATCAGCAGATATAACACTTTCGAACATGAGATTGTTCCAGCATTTTGTGCCATCGACAGGCGGCTACTGGAGATTACAAAAACAGTGTTGACTTGTGCCGATAAATTGCAGCAAGTTCACTTTAAAGGTACTTGATAGATAGATTGGTAATTGATCAGGTGGCTGTTGATCTGTACGTCGAGCTTGGCAATTGATTTGCAAACGTTTCGTCACCATTCGAGGAGACATCTTCAGTGCGCTGTTGGTTAGGTAGTTCCTCTCTTCGTGCCTGCGTTTATATAGTCTACAAAGAGCAACCTTTGCGCCGTAACCTGGATTCTGATTGGCCCCTTCTTGATCTGTATTGCGTCGTGGTCGGCTTCTCTGTTGGTTTGTGGCGTGCCTCCTATTTTTAGTAGCCTGCTGTTCTATTGATTTCTTCTTTGAGTCCTTGTCCGGCCTCGGGTTCTGTGGTTCTGGATTTCCTTTGTCCTCAGAGGCTGGTAGGCAGGATCAAT